TAACAATTGTTACTAATTTGAATAGAATAGAATAGAATAGAATAGAATAGAATAGAATAGAATAGAATAGATGGGGATAGTGATGAAAATAGAATAGAATAGAATAGAATAGAATAGAATAGAATAGAATAGAATAGATGGGGATAGTGAATAGAATAGAATAGAATAGAATAGAATAGAATAGAATATATGGGGATAGTGATGAAAATAGAATAGAATAGAATAGAATAGAATAGAAAAGAAAAGAAAATATGGAATGGAACGGAATAGAACAGAATAAATATAGAGAATTAGAATAGAAATATAGAATAGAATAAATAGAGAATAGAGAATTACAATAGAGAAATACAGAATAGAATAGAATAAATATAGAATATAGAACAGAATAGAACAGAATAACAGAGTTGGAAGGGACCTTGAAGGTCATCTAGTCCAGGGCTTTTCAACCAGTGGTACGGGTACCACCTGCGGTACATTGGCACCTGGCAGGGGGTACGCGACCATCCTAGAAAAATAGTGGAGGAGGGGAATGAGCTAAACCGGTGGCAGCACCGCACAAGCCTGAGCGAGAGACGGCTGGAGCTGCAGGGCTGTCAGGGCTCAGCGGAGGCGCCAGGATCAGCGCCAGGCTCCAGCTGGGGCTCAGCACTGATCCTGGCGCTTCTGCTGAGCCCAGAAGAAGCACCGATCAGCTGGGTCTTGTGATTTACATTCAGATGCTTGGCAACTGATTCATATTTATGACGGTCACAGTGTCCCAGGGTCATGTGAAGTGACCAAAACCTGCTGCAACCACCCAGCAGACGGGGTGGGGGAGGAATAAAAACCAAACACCCCCCCACCCCACCCCCGCCGCCAATGCTCAACAAAAATGCTCACAACAATGAAAACCTCGGACAGGAGGAAGAGCACGGCTGGGTGGGCAGGCAGGCGTCTTGCTCGGCTGTGCCTTGGGGGGCCCTTTTTTCAGTGCCATTGTAACTTGAAACAGTCACTAAGCGAACTGTTATAGGTCGAGGACTACCTGTACTTTATCACTTTTTTTTTTGGTCATCAAGTTTTTCACACCTTGCTGGTGGTCCTCGGATGTTGCCATATCCTAAAAGTGGTACAATGGGTGAAAAGGTTGAAAAGCCCTGATCTAGTCCAACCCCCTCTGCTCAGGCAGGAAACCCCATACCATTTCAGACAAATGGCTGTCCAGTCTCTTCTTAAAAACCTCCAGTGGTGAAGGAAGGGAGGAAGGAAGGAAGGAAGGAAGGAAGGAAGGAAGGAAGGAAGGAAGGAAGGAAGGAAGGAAGGAAGGAAGGAAAAGCAGAATGACAGAGTCAGAAGGAACCTTGGAGATCATCTAGTCCAACCCCCTGCTCAGGCAGGAGACCCCATACCATTTCAGACAAATGGCTGTCCAGTCTCTTCTTAAAAACCTCCAGTGGTGAAGAGCCCACAACTTCTGGAAGGACGTCTGACCCTCCATTCCATCAGGTACCAAGGGGGCTTGTGTGCAAATCCCCCTTCCTTTAAATTGCCCAGCAACAACCCTGCGAGGTAGGCGGAGCAAAGTATAACAGAATTGGAAGGGACCTTGGAGGTCATCTAGTCCAACCCCCTGCTCAGGCAGGAAACCCTATACCATTTCAGACAAATGGCTGCCCCATTAAGAGCCGAGGTGGCGCAGCAGTTAGAGTGCAGTAGTGCAGGCCACTTTAGCTGACGGTGTTCAGCAGGTTAGCGGTTCAAATCTCACCGGCTCAAGGTTGACTCAGCCTTCCATCCTTCCGGGGTAGGTAAAATGAGGACCCAGATTGTTGGGGGCAATGTGTGTGTATATATATATATATATATATATATATATATATATATATATATTCATACATACATACATACATACATACATACATACATTGCTTACTGGTGTACACCGCTTAGAGCAGTGGTTCTCAACCTGTGGGTCAGGACCCCGTTTGGGGTCGAACAACCATTTCACGGGGGTCGCCAAACAACGCAGTCCGCCATTCCCCCCCCCCCTTTTCCCTAGCTGTGCTACTCCCTTTTATTCTATTGGCTTTTGAAAGCCAATAGAATAGACTCTCTTGAATAGAGTCTAATTCTATTGGCTTTCAAAAGCCAATAGGAATTGTCCAGGCTGTCTCTGCCCTGCTGAGCCCGCCCAAAGTCCCAGTTTGCAAACGGTGCTGCACCAGTTGAGTAGTCCTCGACTTACGACCGGTTGAGTAGTCGTAAAAAGGTTGAGAACCACTGGCTTAGAGAGTGCTTGCACTTAAAGCAGTATATAAGTCTCATAAATAAATAAATAAATAAATAAATCTCTTCTTCAAAACTTCCAGCATTGGAGCATTTTCAATTTCTGGAGGCAGGTCGTTCCAACAACTTAACAGATTCTTTCATCTGCTTCCCCTTTGATGATCTGGTGCTTGGCTCATCGTTCCAACTCTTGGTTGTACGAGACTTTACTCCTCTTTGAAATTATGGCTTCAAAAAACAACAACAACAACACTAAACGAGGGACAGCTGGGGTTTGATTTTGTTCTTTTGACATCTCTCATTTTGAATGAATGACTTGGGAAAAAACACAAGCGTCAATCAGGAAAAATTAAAAAACAAAACAAAAACCAACAACAGAAGAAAGGGACAGCTTTGTGGATCCAGATTACAGCGGCCGATGGGTCTCTGATTAAGAACCACAAAGATGATGAAGGGTCTGGAGGCTAAATCGCATGATGAACGGCTAAGGAAACTTAGGATGAAGAGAAGATGGAGGGGAGACATCATAGCACTCTCTCTAACATCTAAGGGACTGCCCCAAAGAAGAGGTAGTCAAGCTATTCTCCAAAGCACCTGAAGGCCAGTCAAGAAGCAACGGATGGAAACAAATCAAGGAGAGAAGCAACCTAGAACTAAGGAGAAACTTCCTGAAAGTTAGAACAATTAACCACTGGAACTGCTTGCCTCCAGACGTTGTGGGTGCTCCATCACCGGAGCTTCTTAAGAAGAGATTGGACAACCATTTAATGAAGAGAAGGATGAGGGGGGACAAGATAGCAGTCTTCCAGTATCTCAGGGGCTGCCCCAAAGAAGAGGGAGTCAAGCTATTCTCCAAAGCGCCTGAAGGCAGGACAAGAAGCAACGGATGGAAACTCATCAAAGAGAGAAGCAACCTGGAACTAAGGAGAAACTTCCTGACAGTGAGAACAATTAACCAGTGGAACTACCTGCCTCCACAAGCGGTGAATGCTCCAACACTGGAAGTTTTTAAGAAGAGACTGGACAGCCATTTGTCTGAAATGGTGTAGGGTTTCCTGCCAGAGCAGGGGGTTGGACTAGATGACCTCTAAGGTCCCTTCCAACTTTGTTATTATTACAAGACTTGTCTGCTCGCCACTTCTGTATTCTTCGCAGCAACCCAGGTCAGCTTTTGCAAAAGTGGATTATAGTCCTCGTGATACAGCAGTTTGCTTAGTGGTCGTTTGAAGAGACCTTTTTCAGGTACACACGTGGTTATCAGTGGACTTGGGCACTGAAGATCCTTCCAATCCTGGACTATAGGTTGTCCTTGACTTACAACCATTTATTTAGTGACGGTTCAAAGTTACAGCACCGCTGAAAAAAATGGACTTGGGATCGTTTTTCACTGACGACTGTTCGATATCCCCACGATCGCATGATCGAAACTCAGAAGCTTGGCAACAGGCATGTACTTGTGACAGTTGCAGTGTCCTGTGTGTGTTTGTGTGTGATGTGATCCCCTTTTGCAACCTTCTGATAAGCAAAATCAACGGGGAAGGCAGATCCACTTAAGAACCGTGTTACTAACTTAAGAACTGCAGCGATTCTCACTTAACAATCAGAGCAAGATGGGGCAAAATTCATGTAACTGTCTCATTTAGTACAAAAAATAAAATAAAATTCTGGGCTTATTTCTGTTCGTTCAGTTGAGCGCTACCTGTGTAAATTTTCTGAAATAAATCACGAAACTTTGTCCTGTGGCATGAAGGGTTTTAAGGCCCTGGAATTGAACCCAGAAGCAATTTAGCAACCAATTGCAGGCACCTTATAATTTAATAATAATAATAATAAAGTTGGAAGGACCTTGGAGGTCATCTAGTCCAACCCCCTGCTCAGGCAGGAAACCCTACACCATTTCGGACAAATGGCTGTCCAGTCTCTTCTTAAAAACTTCCAGTGTTGGAGCATTCACAATTTCTGGAGGCAGGTTGTTCCACTGGTTAATTGTTCGAACTGTCAGGAATATAATAATAATAATAATAATAATAATAATAATAAAGTTGGAAGAGACCTTGGAGGTCATCTAGTCCAACCCCCTGCTCAGACAGGAAACCCTATACCATTTCGGACGAATGGCTGTCCAGTCTCTTCTTAAAAACTTCCAGTGTTGGAGCATTCACAGCTTCTGGAGGCAGGTAGTTCCACTGGTTAATTGTTCTCACTGTCAGGAAGTTTCCCCTTAGTTCCAGGTTTCTCTCCTTGATTCGTTTCCACCCATTGCTTCTTGTCCTGCCTTCAGGGGCTTTGGAGAATAGCTTGACTCCCTCTTCTTTGGGGCAGCCCCTGAGATACTAGAACACTGCTATCCTGTCTCCCCTCCTCCTTCTCTTCATTAAACTAGACATATCCAATTCCAGCAACCGTTCCTTATATGTTTCAGCCTCCAGTCCCCTAATCTTTGTTGCTCTTCTCTGTACTCTTTCTAGAGTCTCAGCATCTTTTTTACATCGTGGTGACCAAAACTGCATTCCAAGTGTGGCCTTACCAAGGCCTTGTAAAGATCACCTTGGTGATCTGTAAAAGCCACTGAATCATCTCTGGGGCTTCAAACACTCACTTTCAAAGGAAAAAAAAAATATTCTGCAAGGCTTTATATATCAAAATTAATATCAGAAAGAGAGACGGGTGGTGAAGCCCATCCAAGGGCGCCCTCTAGAGTGAGAACCAAGACATGACACTCAAACAGACTTTTGTTTTGGGTTTCAAAACTTCAGCCAGTGGCGAATTCTGTCTACTGGGTGGTTTAATTATACAAAACACTAAAATCACAATATAAAAATATCGACACAAAATCGTCTTAGAGCTTTCGAGGAGCGCCTGCTTAAAAGTAGTATTATCAGCACCGGGGAAAAACAAAATAAAAAACCCAAACGGAACGAAGAAGATCCGAACCGAACCGAAAAACAAAACAGCAATTCAACCGAAGGGCCGTTATATACAAGATACTTCCAAAATTGTAAAATGCTTATTTATAATGTAATCTATACAAAAGAGTTAAAAACTTCCTATGTACAGTTTCTCTGTGTGGATAGACATACACATTCTCTCTCTCTCTCTCTCTCTCGCACACAAACAAACACACATACGCACACACATGTATAAAAGCGGTGTCTTCATTATTAAGATTTGGGGTTTTTTTTCTTGTTTCTTTTTAATCTGGACTTATTTTTAGTCATGGTAAAACCCCAACGTATTTCCTGGGCAAACTAAAACTATTCGTTCGAAGGAGGATCCCTTTCAACAGAGTCAAACAAAATTATTAAAAGACCACTGTACATTTTTAAAGCCTCCCGCATAATTGTATGAAAAATTGTGTGGTTTTTCTTTCTTTCTTTCCTTTTTTTAAAAAAAAATGCCTTTAAAGAAAGAAAGCCGAGTCCGAATATTTATGCTCGCACCCAAATTCTAATCTTGGATGTCCAATCTTAGACCAATTCTTGTTTCACAGTTTAAATATGAAAAAAAGATACTGAACAGGTCCTGGCTCTGTTACACAAGACCAGGAGTGGGAAATTGAAATATTCTAGATAAATAAAAGCAAGGTTTAATATGGGGCTTTGTGAAATGTTTCATCTATGGTTCGTCAAAAGAAAAAAAAATTAACCTGTGAAAATTAAGGGGAAGAGAAGCATCATCATCACCGTGTGGCGTCTAGTTTTGAGACTGTGTGTTTTGTTTTAAAGACTAATATTTTGAAGTTTACTTCAGCTCGTTTTAAAGATTAATATTTCGAAATTAGCTTCGCTTTTGTTTTAAAGGCTAATATTTCAAAATTTACTTTGAAAGAAAAAAAAGAGAAACAGCTTCTTTCTCTGATTCTTACTCTCTCCCTAAGACAGTGTTTCTCAACCTTGACAATTTTAAGGTATGTGGACTTCAACTCCCAGAATTCCACAGCCAGCAATGCTGGCTGTGGAATTCTGGGAGTTGAAGTCCACAGGCCTTAAAATTGTCAAGGTTGAGAAACACTGCCCTAAGAGCACGCTCCCTCGATTGATTTGAGAATCCAGCTAGCCTTTAAAACAGTGTTTCTCAACCTTGACAATTTTAAGGCATGTGGACTTCAACTCCCAGAATTCCACAGCCAGCATTCTGGGAGTTGAAGTCCACATGCCTTAAAATTGTCAAGGTTGAGAAACACTGCGTTAAAACAAAATCTGTGCCAAAAACCCGTTCAACGGCAAACTCGGGCTCCGCTTTGTGGCTTTGGGAGAGTAAGTAGGGAAGGTTAGTTTGGTGGCTTTAAAAAAAACACACACGAAACACCCCCCCCCCAAAAAAACTGCCACAATATTTCAATAGAAAATCCAGAACGTCGTAGCAAACGAAACTTCAATATACCATAATGGAGAGGAAAAATAATAATAATTAAAAAATTTTTTTAAAAAATATCACTGCATGTCTCTTTGCTTTCTTGCGTCCAACGAAAATACATTCCACTGTCGTCGGGTTTCCCCAGACCGGACGTGACGCCTCGCTCACCCAAACCGTTTCGCGATCCTGGTCTCGCCAATACTGTCGTCTTTTTCTTTTTTTTTTTAACAAGCTGGCGTTCAGCCTGCGCAAAGACCTCGGAGAGGCAAAGTGCTTCTTACGACTGATATTAAGAGCTTCCAGGACACCGACGGCCGAGGCCCTCGGTGGTTGCCTAAATGTGCACCCCCAGTTTCCAAAAATGCACTAGGTCTGTTCCGAAGTCTGCATCGGGCTGGGCTCCGTCCCGTCTTCGTTGCTGCTGTCCATGTCCTGCTCCATGACGGTGTCTTCCTCGTCCAGGCGTTGACTGGTGAAGTTGTTCATCTCCAGAAGACCGCTGGGTTCGACCACCACGTTGGAGGTGGAATGGCAGGCGACCGAATACTGCGGGATCGTCTGGAAGAGGGGAGAAAACGCGTTAGGGGGCCTTTGGGCGAAGGGATCCTCCAGATAAGGAACTGCCTGCCTGCAGAAGCAGTGAATGCTCCATCACTGGAGGTTTTTAAGGAGAGACTGGACAGCCGTTTGTCTGGAATGGTATAGGGTTTCCTGCCTGAGCAGGGGGTTGGATTAGATGGCCTCCAAGGTCCCTTCCAGCTCTATTCTATTCTATTCTATTCTATTCTATTCTATTCTATTCTATTCTATTCTATTCTATTCTATTCTATTCTATTCTATTCTATTCTACTCTATTATTCTATTCTATTCTATTCTATTCTATTCCTATTCCTTATTCTATTCTGTAATTCTATTCCATTCTGTAATTCTATTCTATTCTATTCCATTCTGTAATTCTATTCTATTCTATTCTATTCTATTCTATTCTATTCTATTCTATTCTATTCTATTCTATTCTATTCCTTAATTCTATTCTATTCTATTCTATTCTATTCTATTCTATTCTATATATTTTCTATTGTTTTCTATGCTATTGTTTTCTATTCTATTTTCTATGCTATTCTATTCTACTCTATTCTTATTCTATTTTCTATATATTCTCTTCTCTTCTCTTCCTCTTCTCTTTCTATTCTTATTCCATTCCATATTTTCTATCCTATCCTATCCTATCCTATCCTATCCTATCCTATCCCATCCTATCCTATCCTTCTATTCTATTTATTCCATTCCATGTTTTCTATTCCATATTTTCTGTTCTATTCCGTCCCATTCTATTCCTTTCCATTCCATTCCAGCAGCTAAACCGTACAACCGTTCCGAGGGAACTAGGAATTTGGACAGAGGGAAATACAGGCAGTCCTCAACGTACGACCACAACTGAAGCAAAAATTTTCTGGCGTTAAGTGAGACAGTTGTTAAGTGAATCTTGCCCCATTTGTGCGACCTTTCTGTGGTTGTTAATCCCTGCGGTTGTGAAGTTAGTAATAAGCTTGTTAAGGGAATCTGGCTCCCCCCCCCATTGACTTAGCTTGTCAGAAGGTCGCAAAAGGGGATCACGTCACCCCGGGGGACGCTGCGACCGTCATAAATGTGAGTCAGTTGCCCAGCGTCTGAATTTGGATCACGCGACCACGGGGTGGTCCACGACTTTGGACCAATCCCTCTCTCTCAGCCCAAGCCACCTTACAGGATGGGGTATGGTCTACGTCTGCCACCTTGAGCTATTTGTCAAAATAATAGTAATAGTAATAATAGTAGTAAAGTTGGACGGGACCTTGGAGGTCATCTAGTCCAACCCCCTGCTCAGGCAGGAAACCCTACACCATTTCGGACAAATGGCTGTCCAGTCTCTTCTTAAAAACTTCCAGTGTTGAGAGCATTTACTGCTTCTGGAGGCAGGTTGTTCCCCTGGTTAATTGTTCTCACTGTCAGGAAGTTTCTCCTTAGTTCTAGGTTGCTTCTCTCCTTGATTAGTTTCCACCCGTTGCATCTTGTCCTGCCCGTAGGCGGGACACAGGCTTGAAAAATATGCCCATAAACAAAACAAAATAAAAAAACAAAAACATTTGGTGGACTTGTAAAAATATTAAGGCTTTTTGGATTATGATTTGGTGGAACATTCAAAAGATTTTTAAAAGGAAGATAAAGTTTACTCCTCAACTATTTTTACTAGGGATTTTTGAGGATTTTGATGTCAAAGAAACTATTTTAATGTTGAATCTAGTAACAGCAGCAAGGCTATTGGTAGGTCAATATTGGAAGAAAGATTCGTTGCCTACTATAGAAGAATGGACACTTAAGGTTTCTAATTTAGCAGAAATGGCTACAATTTCTGCTTATTTAAAGGAGCACACACAAGAAAGATATATTATGGTATGGAGAAGATGGATAGATTATATTCAGATTAAATATGGAACTGAAAAGTTCCATTTATTTTATGATTAAATTTTAAATAATAATTATTATTAATAGCATTTTATAATGGAAATTATTTAGTTTATTTACTGTTATTATGGTTCTTTATAATAATTGTTTTAAAATGGATTTGTTTATAATATTATGATATTAAGGTTTAAAGCAGTGGTTCTCAACCTGTGGGTCGGGACCCCATTTGGGGTCGAACGACCATTTCACGGGGGTCGCCAAACAACGCAGTCCACCATTTTTCCCCCTTTTTCTTAGCTGTGCTACTCCCTTTTATTCTATTGGCTTTTGAAAGCCAATAGAATAGACTCTCTTGAATAGTCTAATTCTATTGGCTTTCAAAAACCAATAGGAATTGTCCAGGCTGTCTCTGCCCTGCTGAGCCCGCCAAAAGCCCCAGTCTGCAAACGGTGCTGCACCAGTTGAGTAGTCCTCGACTTACGACCGGTTGGGGGTCGTGGCATTAAAAAGGTTGAGAACCACTGGTTTAAAGGGAGTTAAGGGTTAAGTATGAATTTAGTTATTGTCTAATTTGTTAAATTTAATTAGATTTTGTTTAATATGTTTGTTAATAACCCTGTACTCGGCTCTGGGAAGTGGGGTGTAGGGGGTGGGTGGGGGGGTTTATAGGTTTAAATTTTTTTTGTTAATTGTCAATAAAACTTTTTCAATAATAATAATAATAAAAAGAAAAATGAAAAGAGCATCCGATCGGCTGAACGCTCGGTAGCCAAAGGGAGCCTTGCGGTCCTGCCTTACCTGGATCAGGATTTCGGCCGCCAGTTCCTCGGCTTTTGGAGGAGCCACGTTCTGGATGCGGATGAACTGGCTGGCGGGAGCCGGGGGGTTCGGCTTCCGCTCCTGAAGAGGCAGCCCCGTGCCGAGAGGGCCCGAGTGCGAGTCCAAGGTTTTCACCTGCTGCAACACGGACGCCGCTCCCAGGGTGGGCGCCCCTCCCGGAGCTGCCTTCAGCACAGAGGGGGGGTTCGCTTCGGCCACGCCAGGAGGGTGGGCCGGGGGGCAGGTCTTATGCGCCGCGTCCCCTCCGGTGCTGGGCTCGATCTGGGCCTCCATCATGGACATCTTCAAAATGTCTGCCATCGCGGACTTGGCAGCCACCTGGCTGGGGAAGAGGGGCGGGAGGGGAGGGGTCACCTTGGAGACTGTGGGGGGCTGATGCCCTTCGAAGGTGATCTTGGTAACAGACGATCCTTGGGTTATTATGGGCTGGTGCACCTGAAACATAAAAGAGGGATGGCACGTAGTTACAGGCAGGGTAAATTAAGGAGGAGGGGGAGGGGGTGTCAAGCTATTCTCTAAAGCGCCTGAAGGCAGGACGAGAAACAACGGTTGGAAACAGATCCAGGAGAGAAGCAACCTGGAATTAAGAAGAAACTTCCTGACAGGGAGGACAATTAACCAGTGGAACTGCTTGCCTACAGAAGTTGTGGGTGCTCCATCACCAGAGGTTTTTAAGAAAAGACTATACAGCCATTTGTCAGAAATGGTATAGGATCTCCTGCTTGAGCAGGGGGCTGGACTAGAAGACCTCCAAGGTCCCTTCCAACGCTGTTATTCTATTCTATTCTATTCTATTCTCTATTCTATTCTATATTTTATACTATTCTATTCTCTATTCTATTCTTATTTCTATTCTATTTTCTATTCTATTCTATTCTTATTTCTATTCTATTTTCTATTCTATTCTTATTTCTATTCTATTCTATTTTCTATTCTATTCTATTCTCTATTCTATTCTATTTTCTACTCCATTCTATTCTATTCTATTTTCTATTCTATTCTATTCTATTTTCTATTCTATTCTGCTATTCTATTCTATCCTATTCTATTTTCTATTCTATTCTCTATTCTATTCTATATTTTATTCTATTCTATTCTCTATTCTATTCTCTATTCTATTCTATTTTCTATTCTATTCTATTTTCTATTCTATTCTTATTTCTATTCTATTCTATTCTATTTTCTATTCTATTCTATTCTCTATTCTATTCTATTTTCTACATTCTATTCTACATTCTATTCTATTTTATTCTATTCTATTTTCTATTCTATTCTGTATTCTATTCTATTCTATTTTATTCTACTCTATTCTATTCTCTGTTTATTCTATTCTATTCTATGCTATTTTCTATTCTATTCTATTCTATTTTCTATTCTATTTCTATTCTATTCTATTTCTATATTCTATTGTGTTCTATTCCTTGGAGAACAGGCATTTTGGGGCAAGAGTAGTCAGCGTTGGCCTCCTACACACACACACACACACTCCTTGTTGGCTTCTAAAGAAGCCAAGGCGGGACTCGAGGGCCAGGCCAGTCCTGAGGTGGGCCCCCGCGCCCCTGCCCGCCCTCTCACCTGGCCCGTGGGCTGCTTCTCGGGCGCTCCAGAGAGCTGCAGCTGGCTTTGGGGCTGGACGTAGATCTTCTGGGCCGTGGGGGCCTGCTGAAGCTTCGGCAGCTGCTGGGCGGTCTTGACCGCCAGCACCTGAACCACCGTCTGTTGGGGCTGGGCGACCAAGGTGGGCAGCTGCCGCTCGCGGGGGACGGCCCCACTGCCGGCCTGCTGGGAGTCCAGTTTGGCGGGGGCCAAATCCTGCTGGAGAGGCGCTAGCTTCTGGTGCCGGATGGAGAGCTGAGGCAGCTGGGGCAGCTTGGCGGCCAACTGCTCCGTTTGCAGGTGGATGGTCTGCTTCTGCTTGGCTTGGAAGCACTGCAAGGTCTTGACTTGGAGCTGGGTCTGCTCCAGCTGGGGCTGGCCGAACTTCTGCTGCTTCTGCACCTGGGTCAGGGCCGACCGGTAGAAGAGTCCCGTCTGGGGGTCCAGCGTGTCTTCCACTTCCCCCTCCTCGGCGCCCAGCTGCTCGCTGTGTTTGGTGAAAGCCGTGTGGCTGCTCAAGGCCTGGATGTCGGAAGGGAGAAGACACCCTGTTATGGTTCCGGCTAACGAAACACTTCAAAGAACTTCCAGGCCATTGATTTTCCTAAAAGTCATTTCTTGTTACAAAATGTCGGCACAGGCCTAACGGAGTCTTTATGCTAAGATCTAAGTTCTCTTCCTCTGAGCAGTTAAAGCAGCGGTTCTCAACCTGTGGGTCGGGACCCCATTTGGGGTCGAACGACCATTTCATGGGGGTCGCCAAACAACGCAGTCCGCCATTTTTTCCCCCTTTTCCTTAGCTGTGCTGCTCCCTTTTATTCTATTGGCTTTTGAAAGCCAATAGAAGAGACTCTCTCGAATAGAGTCTAATTCTATTGGCTTTCAAAAGCCAATAGGAATTGTCCAGGCTGTCTCTGCCCTGCTGAGCCCGCCCAAAGTCCCAGTCTGCAAACGGTGCTGCACCAGTTGAGTAGTCCTCGACTTACGACCGGTTGAGTAGTCCTCGACTTACGACCAGTTGGGGGGGGTCGTGGCATTAAAAAGGTTGAGAACCACTGAGTTAAATTATCAGCATGTTCTCTCCCTAAATTAGCTGTCATATATCACCTTATCCAATTAGTGTGAAGGTCAAAGGTTTCCTTCCTCTTTCTTTCCCGGGGGTTTACCCCCACCCCCTTCTGCTCTGTATTAACCCCAAAAATACCAGACAGTTCTGCACATTGTCAAAGCAAGAATATACAATATTTGCAGCATTGACACACCCATCAAAGGGAGGGTCTGAACTATCCTGGGGGGTCCCCGGAATGGGCTCAGGTACCACCCGCATCATCTTTAGCCAGCATGCCCCGCGACCTCACTGCTTGGGAGAGAACGAAGGAATGTCATGGAGGGTTTGGTGGGGAATCCCTTGCCCCCACCTCATAAAAGAAAGGAGATCTGTCTGAGAGGTCCTTGGTGCTCCCTCAGCTGGGCTGTTTTCTTACAGACGTTTCATTACCTGACTAGGTAACATCATCAGTGCTAGAAGGGAGTGGGGTTTGTGGGATGGAGGATGGAGGATGGAGGGAGGAGGAGGAGAACTGTGGCGTCCTTGATGCTCTCTGAGCTTGGTTGGTTTTCTTGCAGACGTTTCATCACCCAGCTAGGTAACATCATCAGTGCTAGAAGGGAGTGGGGTTTGTGGGATGGAGGATGGGGGATGGGGGAGGAGGAGGAAGAAGAGGAGGAGGAGGAGAACTGTGGCATTCTTGGTGCTCTCTGAGCTTGGTTGCTTTTTTGCAGACATTTCATCACCCAACTAGGTAACATCATCAGTGCTAGAAGGGAGTGGGGTTTGTGGGATGGAGGAGGAGGAGGAGGAGGAGGAGGGAGATGGAGGAGGATGGAGATGGAGCAGGAGGAGGAGGAGGACTGTGGGATCCTTGGTGCTCTCTGAGCTTGGTTGCTTTTTTGCAGACGTTTCATCACCCTACTAGGTAACATCATCAGTGCTAGAAGGGAGTGAGTCTATTCTCTGCAAGTGTCTCGCTCAGCAACAAAAATTTTGGGCTTAACTGTGGTCATAAGTTGGGGACTACCTCTCAGAGAAGGTGGTACTATGGGGTCAGACCCATGTTAAAAATAAGTTGGACATCCCGTGTCACAATCACTTTTCAATTTCATGAAGCTCCCCAAGAGTGGACAGCCCAAGGCTCGCAAGCCCGTCACCCCGCCATAGAGCACAGCCCACCTGCTGCATGAAGTGCGTGATGGCGCCTGCCGAAGAGGTGGGGATGGACTTCACCACAACCGAGGTCTGTGTCGCCGTCTGGGATTGGGCTACATGTTGAAGCAAGGTCCGCTGGGGCTCGGAGGAGGGCTGGTGGGACTGGGACCGGTGGCTTACTGGAAGGATAGAAGGACAAAGCAGTCAAGAGGTCACTCACCAAGGGACGCCATCAAGCAGTGTTTCTCAACCTTGACCACATTAAGGTGGGTGGACTTCAACTCCCAGAATTCATGCTGTCTGGGGATGTCTGGGAGTCGAAGTCCACTCATCTTAAAGTGGTCAAGGTTGAAACCTGCTGCCATAAAGTTACCTGCTTAACTATGAATCAAAGACAGTGTGGATGAAAGGGACATTGTGTGTTTATGTCTTTAAGTAAGACAGTATAATACACTGTAAGAGAACCACTTTGGTGTCTTGATTATGGCACAAGACCAACCTGGCTCTCTTATAGTTCATTATATCGGGCCAATTTCAAGCCATGTTATGCATCCTGGCACACAGAAGGGGGAAAAAATGACTGCAACTTTCTGGTTATCATAAAATTCTCCCACGTGTCAGTGGCAACTGTTGGAAGCAACAGACAACACTATCACTGAGATCCTTCAGACAATGTATGAGTGAGCCTGCCTCCTAGAGTTGCCAATATCAGCATTTTTGCCAACCCAACTCAAGTCAACTCAACCAACCCAACCCAATCCAATTCAATCCAACCTACCTAATCCAACTTCGTAACTCATCCTAACCCAACTCAATTCAATCCAATCCAATCCAACCCAATTCAACTCAACCAGCCCAACCCAACCTAACTTAACCCATCCCAACCCAATCCAACCCAACCCAAGTCAACTCAACCATCCCAACCCATCCCAACCCAACCTAACTTAACACATCCCAACCCAACTCAATCTAATCCAAGTCCACCCAAGTCAAGTCAACCATCCCATCCCAACCCAACCAAACTTAACCCATCCCCACCCACGTCAACTCAACTGTCCCATCTCAACCCTACCCAATCTGTAACCCATCCCAACCCAACTCAATCCCATCCAACCCAAGTCAACTCAACCATCCCATCCCAACTTAACCCATCCCAACCCATCTCAACTCAATCAACCCAATCCAACCCAACCCAACTTAACCCCTCCCAACCCAACCCGATTCAGTTCAATCCAACCCAACCCAATTTAACCCAGGTCAACTCAACCAACTGAACCCAATCCAATCCAACTTAAGTCAACCCATCCCAATTCAATCCAACCCAACCCCCTACATCCCCTTCGTCCCTCTTGTCTGTACCATAAAAATAAAATATCTAACCAATGTGGTTCTGAAGATATTCCTCTGAATGCGAAGGAACACAGTGAATCCTTCCAGAATCTGCAGATTGACAAAAGGATTAGAGTTAAAAGAGGAAGCAAGCGGTGCAACTTGCAATCTGAATCAGGGTCACCTGGCTGCTGTATAGTAAATCCATCCATTTGCTCCCATCCCTTGGTTTGAATTCTTTGTAGAGATTCAAAGAAGATGGAAAAGAATATGACTTTGACCTCATGCCGGAGGGATAAGACTTTAAAAAATGGAGGAGCTGCTGCTGGCTGGTTGGTACCTATCATCACTAGGTCATCAGGAAACGGGTAAAGGCAAAAAAACTAGTTAACTGAATTGACCTAACTCCCGCTGGTCAGCGTCGTCGTCCTAAGGGCAAAGCTGGAAAATTAACTTTTCCCCCCACCAAGACTGTCCCCGCAAAGATGGAGCCTCTCTTAAGAATCCATCATGAATAGATGAATGTCATGATCTCACAGCGGATTTGCTAATAGACATATGGGGGAAAAAAATGAGTTAAACTGAAATTCATCTCCATATTCAAATCCGGTACCGTACACGTATTTTAATGGAACATGCATATATTTGTAGCATACCCTGAAATTATTTTCTGTTTGTTTCTTTGTTTATTTAATGAAGGGGCTATTTGTTGTTGATCATTCTCCAACCCATCTCCAATCTCTGCGATTCAGGGACCGGGAACCAAAGGGGCAAGTACTTAGTAGATCTCCTTCTTTCCTCCCTGCGTGCAAACTACTTGGAAACAACCTGGCGTGGGCCTTCTATCTCTCTCTCTTTCTCTTTTTTTTAAATTGTATTCAAATACAAATAATACAAACATAGCACATATAACACATATAACTTCCTGACAGTGAGAACAATTAATCAGTGGAACAGCCTGCCTCCAGAAGCAGTAAATGCTCCAACACTGGAAGTTTTTAAGAAGAGACTGGACAGCCATTTGTCTGAAAAGGTGTAGAGTTTCCTGCCTGAGCAGGGGGTTGGACTAGATGACCTCCAAGGTCCCTTCCAACTTTACTACTACTACTATTATTATTATAAATCTAAATAAAAAACAATAATAAAAAAATACAAATATTACAGGGCATCCACCCCCCTGGGGACCATTTTTATTACCTATATTTCTTCTCATATAACAACAAACAATGTACAATGTATTTCAAGTGTGCCCTTATCCCCGCCAAAACAGCCAATATTCCTGAGTAGGTTTATTCCCTTTGCCTTCCACCAACCCTGTTTTTATAAAATCCTCCCGTATTTCATTATTCATTCTTCACTCTCGCCCACCCGCCTCACAGCAGGGACTCACCCGTGGTGATGTATTCTGCCACCAGCTCCGATTCCACCACGGCAATGGAGGGGCTGTCGGGAGAATGCTGCTTCTCTTGGGTCATCTGGATGGGGACGGCCATTTGGCTCAAGTCGATGGTGGCCTGCCGGGGCTTGGTTTCTAACTTCTCTTTGACTGTTGCGGCAAAAAGCAAAAGGGATGATGAAGCAACAGGCCTGGAGGGGCGGGAGGGGTGGGGGCCTACAGCAGTGGTTCTCAACCTTTTTAATGCCGCGTTCCCCAACCGGTCGTAAGTCGAGGACTACTCAACCGGTTGTAAGTCGAGGACTACTCAACTGGTGCAGTACCGTTTGCAGAATGGGACTTTTGGCGGGCTCAGCAGGGCGGAGACAGCCTGGACAATTCCTATTGGCTTTTGAAAGCCAATAGAATTAGACTCTATTCAAGAGAGTCTATTCTATTGGCTTTCAAAAGCCAATAGAATAAAAGGGAGTAGCACAGCTAAAGAAAAGGGGGAAAAACTGGCGGACTGCGTTGTTTGGCGACCCCCGTGAAATGGTTGTTCGACCCCAAATGGGGTCCCGACCCACAGGTTGAGAACCACCGGCCTACAGGGTTATCCGCAAGGTGTGTTCCACAAAGTCAAGATGGCAGCTACGGCGCATCTAAGAAAAACGGGCGGAGCACCAACTGTATCGTTGTGGTCTGCCATCTTGATTATTTTGGCCCACGCCCTACGGACATACCTGTCTTGGTTTGTTTCAAGCAGGGCTCTTCAAACTTGGCCCTTTTATGACTTGTGGACTTCAACTCCCAGAATTCCTCTGGGAGTTGAGGTCTGCAAGTCATGAAGGGGTCACAGTTCCCCCATGCTGGCTGAGGAGTTGAAGTCCAGGAGTCATGAAGGGGCCATAGTTCCCCCATGCTGGCTCAGGAATTCTGGGAGTTGAAGTCCACAAGTCATGAAGGGGCCAAGTTTGAAGACCCCTGGTTTAAAGGAAGCTTCAAACCACCAAGCTGGAAGTCTATGGAGATTCTCCATCCTCCAGGTCAGGGTTGTCCCAAAGGTGATTTTTTTCAGGAGGCAACTGAACTTTCTTGTTTTTTCTCTGAAGACGTTTCACTTCTCATCCAAGAAGCTTCTTCAGCTCTAACTGGATAGTGGGGAATGGAAAGATTTATACTCCTTGCAGACAGCTGGTCATTTGCATTCTTATAGAGAGTCGTTGAGGCCACTTGGAGGTTTGTCTGTGTCCTCCAAATCACCCGAGTAGGTGTGCAAATGGGTGTGGAGCCTTCTTGGAAATGCTAAAAGGACTGTGTGGTAGACTGGAGATGGGTGGTGTCGTATCCCTCACCCTCTGTTGAGAGAGGGCTGTTCAGTTTGGACACAGATGGCCTCTTTGACCCCTCTTTCAAACCAGCGATCCTCTCGGTGCAAAATATGGGCTTTGGTGTCTTCGAAAGAGCAGCCTTTGTCTTGCAGGTGGATGGGTGAATCTTGTCCTGATGGGTTTGTTCTCCTATGTTCCAAGAAGGCTCCACACCAGGGCTCTTCAGACTTGGCGCTTTTATGACTCGTGGACTTCAACTCCCAGAATTCCTCAGCCAGCATGGGGGAATTATGGCCCCTTCATGACCTGTGGACTTCAACTCCCAGAATTCCTGAGCCAGCATGGGGGAACTGTGGCCCCTTCATGACTTGCGGACTTCAACTCCCAGAATTCCTCAGCCAGCATGGGGGAACTACGGCCCCTTCATGACTCGTGGATTTCAACTCCCAGAATTCCTGAGCCAGCGTGCCTGGCTGAGGAATTCTGGGAGTTGAAGTCCGCAAGTCATAAAAGGGCCAAGTTTGAAGAGCCCTGCTCCACACCCATTTGCACTACTCAGGTAACCCTGCTGACACAGCTAAGCCTCCAGGTGGTCTCAACAACTCTCTATTCCAGTGGTGGCGAACCTACAGCATGGGTGCCAGAGGCAGCACTCAGAGCCCTCTCTGTGGGCACGTGTGCCGTCGCCCCAGTCCTAGGCCTTCAGCTGGGTTTTATAAAACTTTTTCGCTTTAGGCCTCCGCCGCCGTGTGCAAAAAAAAAAAAGGTTCAATCAATCAGTCAATTTCAACTTCTCGCGGGAAAAAAAAAGATCTCGCAAAGTTGGAATTGACTGATTGAACTTTTTAGTCCCACCAGTCTGCCGTTACCACCGCAGCCACGCCCACCCAATGGGCCACACCCACCCGGCACCCGACGATGCATAAGTGGGTTTTGGGTTGCAGTTTGGGCACTCGGTCTCTAAAAGGTTCACCATCACTGCTCTATAAGAATGCAAATCCTCCCCATTCCCCACCATCCAGTCAGAGCTGAAGAAGCTTCTTGGATGAGAAGCAAAACATCATCAAAGAAAAAACAAGAAAGTCTTGTTGCCTCCTGAAAAAAACACCTTTGGGACACCAAGCTGGAAACTGGACAGCCAACAATCAGTTCATAAAAGCCACGAGATGATTTGGGATACTGGGGATATAAGACTAGCTCTGTTGAAGCTCATCTTAGTCCAGTCTTTGGCCTCTAGGGGCCAAGTCAATGCTTTTGACGTTGCTCAAAACTGGAGGGTTATCTCCTTGTCCTGCCAATGTTCCCATGTTTACTTGAAGGCATCTACCCAACGTTCTAGAGTTAACACTGAAGCTCACTGCCTCTCCTGAAACTGACGGGAAGTTGCACGGTGAATCCAACCAGGTCCTCCTGAGAACTTTCTGCTCTTGAAATAACACAGGAAGGACAGATTCCAAAGAGTTTCCGGAAAGCAACTGGGGGGGGGGGAAACAAAGGTTTGAGAGATCCACCTGTGGTCTGCTGGAGTTCCAACAAGGCTTTAATGGTTGATGTTGCAGAGTGAGATTCGCCCGAGACATCTTGATAGATGATGGTGGGACTGGAATCCACAGCGATTTCGTGTTCTGACCAATCCTGGCTTCGGGAAGCAATGACGTGGACCACGGGCTGGGAATCTGAGACAAAGGGAGGGAGGGAGGTTCCCATCAACCTAGGTTAGCTTCTCTCCTCCCCAGAACATCCTTTATGGTGTCTCCATAGCCATGTCCTTCTGTTATGCTTGTGGCTGGCCATATTAACATATGGACATGGGAGAAAGTCCAAACTAACTTGTTATCAAGGATGCTGGTCCACCAGAGATTCTATTCTATTCTATTCTATTCCTTTTCTATATTCTATTCTATTCTATTCCATTCTATATTTTCTATTCTATTCTATTTCTATTCTGTTCTATTCCTATTCCATTCCATTCCATTCTATATTTTGTATTCTATTCTATTCTATTCTATTCTATTCTATTCTATTCTATTCTATTCTATTCTATTCCTTTTCTATTCCTATTCTATTCTATTCTATTCTATTCTATTCTATTCTATTCTATTCTATTCCATTCCATTCCATTTTCTATTCCATTCCATTCTATATTTTCTATTCTATTCTGTTCTATTCTATTCCATTCCATTCCATTTTATTCCTTTTCTATTCTATTCTATTCCATTCTATTCCTTTTCTATTCCATTCCATTCCATTCTATATTTTCTATTCTATTCCTATTCCTATTCCTATTCCTATTCCTATTCTATTCTATTCTATTCTATTCTATTCTATTCCATTCCATTCCATTCCATTCCATTCCATTCCATTCCATTCCTTTTCTATATTGTATTCCATTCTATTCCATTCCATTCTGGACTTAGATGGTCTTGCTGGTTATGACCTGTATTTTCACCAGGTCTCAATTACCTGGAAACTACAGAGTACATGTGCACAGTCCTTCCTACCTCAATTCCACTCATTATACTCATCACTCCTTGTGCCAGAACCCATGGGGTAACTTGAGATTAAAGCTGCATGGAAAGATAAACCAATCATGCTCTGATAGACTCACAGCAGCAATGGACATGTGCAGGGTAAGCCCTCAAGATCCTTCCAATACTGACTACAAGTACTTCTCGGCTTACAGACGTTCGTTTAGTGACCGTTCAAGTTACAACAGCACTGAAAAAAAAGTGATTTATAACCGGTGTTCACATTTGCAGCATCCCCACAGTCGTGTGATCAAAATTTCAGATGCTTGGCAAACGGCTCGTATTAAGAACGGCTGCAGTGTGCCAGAGTCATTTTGTGATTTACTGACAAGCCAAGTCCGTGGGAAGCCAGATACATTGAACAACCGTGTTACTTAACAACTGCAGCGACTTGCTTAACCACAAGAAAAGTGGTAAAATGCGGCAAAACTCACTTCACAACCGTCCAGCTTAGCCACGGAAAATTCGGGCTTCCTAGCGGTTATAAATTGAGGATGATCTGCACAAGAGAAACTGGGAATTTCTCCCAAGTTGCTGATCTGAGATTCTCAGAATCCCTCACCAAGTTCCCAATCAGGGAAGCTGGGAATTATCAACCGAGAGGTGTGTGTGTGTGTGTGTCTGTGTGTGTGGTGTCAATCTTCAGAGTGGGGTGGGGTACTACTCCTGCTATCTTGGTACCGTATCTTCTCTGAAGTTCACCAAACTAGCTGGGGAGAATAAAATCTGGAGTCTAGCTAGAAAGCTGGCCACTTTTAAGACTGGTAGACTTCAACTCCCAGAATTCCCCAGCTCAACCGTGAGAATTCTGGGCGTTGAAACGTTCACCAGTCTTAAAAGTGGCCACGTTTGGGGAGCCCTGGGCTACAGCTTTCTCTCTCTGGAGAGGCGGACAAAATATTCCCCCAAAAGGAGTATACTTCTCCAGCAAATAGCAACTCCAGCTGATCCCGGAGAGAAATCTCAGGAACGCCGTTCACCTTGGGAACTCTGGATGGACTCCACGGAAGAGGAACTGCTGTCGGTGTACACTTGGGGTTCCTCCTTCACCTCTGGCAGGAACGCGTTCCCGGTCTCCATCACGCGGGAAGCCTGTTGAAGGGTCTCCGTCACCAGCTGCCTCGCCTGCTCGCTGACCACCGTGGCCTGGAAGGTCACCGGCTTGGGCTTGATGAGGACCTACGAGGGAAGCAAAGGGATCTGGCTGCAGGGGTCAAGATCCAGGGGCAAACCTTTGCCACAGCCAGTGGGGGGGAGCAGGGGGTGGGAGAGAGGCCCAGCGGAAGCGGTTCTCGAATAGCAGTTACCTATGCTGCGCCCCGAACGTCTGTACAGTAGTGGGCAAAACTGTGGAAACCTTTTGGGAAAAGTGTATTTTTGAGGTTGGAGGGCTAATAACACCACTTTTTTAGGGGGGGGGGAGAGTACCATAAATTTATATGTCAATGGAAAGATCATTTAATCAAGAATGTAAACAAAGATGATTAGAGGACTGGAGGCTAAAACTTACAAGGAACGGTTGCTGGAATTGGGTATGTCTAGTTTAATGAACAGAAGGACGAGGGGGGGGCAGGATAGCCGCGTCCCAATATCTCAGGGGCTGCCCCAAAGAAAAGGGGGGTTCACTTATTCTCCAAAGCGCCAGAAGGCAGAACAAGAAGCAACGGATGGAAACTCATCAAGGAGAGAAGCAACCTAGAATTAAGGAGAAACTTCCTGACAGTTAGAACAATTAACCAGTGGAACAACCTGCCTCCAGAAGTGGTGAATGTTCCAACATTGGAAGTTTTTAAGAAGAGACTGGACAGCCATTTGTCTGAAATGGTATAGGGTTTCCTGCCTAAGCAGGGGGTTGGGCTAGATGACCTCCAAAGACCCTACCAACATTATTATTATTTTTATTATTATTATTATGCAACATGTTGTTGTTGTTGTTAGTTGCGAAGTTGTGTCCGACCCATCGTGACCCCATGGACAACGTTCCTCCAGGTCTTCCTGTCCTCTACCATTTTCTGGAGTCCATTTAAGTTCACGCCTCCTGCTTCAGTGACTCCATCCAGCCACCTCTGTCGTCCCCTTCTTCTCTTGCCCTCCATCTTTCCCAGCATCAGGCTCTTCTCCAGTGAGTCCTTCCTTCTCATTAGGTGGCCAAAGGACTTGAGTTTCCACTTCAGGATCTGGCCTTCTAAAGAGCAGTCGGGGTTGATCTCCTCTAGGACTGACCGGTTTGAACGCCTTGCAGTCCAGGGGACTCGCAGGAGTCTTCTCCAGCACCATAGTTCAAAGGCCTCCATTCTTTGGCGCTCAGCCTTTCTTATGGTCCAACTTTCCCAGCCATACTTTGCAACTGGGCAAACCATGGCCTGGACTATACGCACTTTTGTTGGCAGGGTGATGTCTCTGCTTTTTAGTATGCTGTCTAGATTTGCCATAGCTTTCCTCCTCAGGAGCAAGCGTCTTCTAATTCCTTGGCTGTAGTCCCCATCTGAGGTGATCTTGGAGCCCAGGAAGATAAAATCTGTCACCACCTCCATTTCTTCCCCATCTATTTGCCAGGAATTGAGAGGGCCGGATGCCATGATTTTGGTTTTCTTAATGTTGAGTTTCAAGCCAACTTTTGCACTCTCCTTCTTCACCCGCATCAAGAGGCTCTTTAGTTCCTCTTCACTTTCTGCCATTATGCAACATAGTTTGTTCAATTATCTGTACTGCATTCTATGAAAAGTTATAGCCAAATAACCAGAAAAAGGAGGCACAACTTGCTCAGGTTGATCTCAGGTACCTTTCCTTCATCTGATTCTAACCAATGAGCAGGAGTGTTTAGAGAGCCAATCGGGTGTCATCTTGTTTTGGCAATGAGCCAATCAGATCACAGTAGGATCCAGTTATCGATGTCACGTATTGAAGCCGAGAAGAGGACATTTGTCAGTGTGTTATGTGATCGCTATCAAGTCGGTTGGGGTTTTTTGTGTTCTTTCATTTAGTGAGCTTGTAAAACATCATAAAATTAAAGCGATGATGCAAAGAGCTGACTAGTCGCCCAGAAAGCGATGTAAAATACGTATTATTAAGTGAACGAGGCTACAGTTATAAAGAAATCAGAAGAAAAATGGGTGGAAACTTAACCAAAGGATGGCATTTCTACTGTACACTTTCCCCAAAAAGTTTCCCACAATTTTGACCACTCCTATAAGTTTAATGATGTCGTGGGTTTTCCTGTATTGATCAGTGCTCCTCAATCTTGGCCATTTCAAGATGAGTGGACTTCAACACCCAGGATTCCTTAGCCAGCCATGCAGGCAGGGGGAATTCTGGGCGGTGAAGTCCACGCCTCTTAAAAGTTGTCACGCTTGAGAAAAACTGCTTTATTAGACGATTCGACATTTCTTTTTATCCAGAATTTGTGGAATCAGCCAATCTGAGGCCCGCTTCATAGAAAACAGCCATTGATAATGGGTGAGCCAAGCCACACACAAGGGGTCTGGTGGGCGTTCCAAACAAAAAAGCTTTTGCACAGTATATGAAAATATTTGTATGATCACCAGGCCTAGATGGAATCCCAGTCGACTCTTATAAAAAATAAGAGTTACTACAATGAATAATGTTGGAAATTTAAAATGAGGTGTTGGTAGAGGCGATATGTGTATAATAATAATAATAATAATATGAATTATTCCTAGTAAGTAGTAGAATATGAAAGAAGGAAAACGTAAATAAGAAACAATGGGGCAATAGGGGCAAATATTTCAAAGAAGAATGAGGGGGGACATGTAAATAATAGAAGAGTACTGTTACAAATTGCTGTTAACAAAAAAGGATATATTATGTGTATATGTGTGTAACGTTTTGCTGTGTTTTGTTTTGTTTTGTTGGTCTAATACAGTGGTTCTCAACCTGTGGGTCGGGACCCCATTTGGGGTCGAACGACCATTTCACGGGGGTCGCCAAACAACGCAGTCCGCCATTTTTTCCCCCCTTTTCCTTAGCTGCGCTACTCCCTTTTATTCTATTGGCTTTTGAAAGCCAATAGAATAGACTCTCTTGAATAGAGTCTCATTCTATTGGCTTTCCAAAGCCAATAGGAATTGTCCAGGCTGTCTCTGCCCTGCTGAGCCCGCCCAAAGTCCCCTTCTGCAAACGGTGCTGCACCAGTTGAGTAGTCCTCGACTTACGACCGATTGGGGGGGGGTCGCGGCATTAAAAAGGTTGAGAACCACTGGTCTAATATATATATATAGCTTTTGCAGATGAAAGGCTTTAGGAGAGCGATCCAGTCTCTTCTTAAAAGCCTCCAGTGATGGTGCATCCACAACTTCTGGTGGCAAGCTGTTCCACTGGTTAATTGTCCTCAATGTCAGAAAGTTGATTAGTTTCCACCCGTTGCGTTTCTTCTCCTGCCTTCTGGTGCTTTGGGAAATGGATCCCTCTTCTTTGTGGCAGCCCCTCAAATACTGGGAACACGGCTGTTATGTTCCCCCCCCCCAGTCCTTCTTTTCTCTAGACTGGCCATATCCAATTCCTGCATCTGTTTTTTTTTATATATATATATTTCTCATGTGGCTCTTGGGGAAAATAATTGCCCACCGCTGATGTTGACCCTTTTTCACATCCAAGCACTTTAAAAAAAAATTTAAAAAAGGCGTACCTGAGTTTTTCCTTGCTGTCCGTATACAATTTTGGTGGGGATAATTTTGGTCGCTGGCTGGACACCAGAGCTCAGCCCTTTCGGCTGCGTGACGATCATTTTCGTAATGGGCCGGGTGGCAGTGATGATGGCGGGTTTTGCACCGGCTGGAACGGCTTGGATGGTTTTCTCTCCCTGAAAAACAACCCCTTGATCAGAACAATTTAACGTCCGAAGGGCTTTTTGTGGGTTAGGGAAGCACAAACTTAAAAGCAAACCCTACTCCCTTCTAGCCCTGATGAGGTTACCTAGTTGGGTCATGAAACGTCTGCAAGGAAACCACCCAGCTCAGAGAGCACCAAGGACCCCACAGTCCTTCCCCCGCTCCCCACAAGCTCCCTTACCTTCTAGCACTGATGATGTTACCTAGTTGGGTCATGAAACGTCCTCAAGAAAAAGAACCAAGCTGAAAGAGCACCCAGGACCCCGCACAATCTTTGTTAACACCATGCTGTACACACAAATGATGCTGGGGCACTACAACCCCTGTGGAGAAAGCACCAGGGACCCCACAATTCTCCTCCTCCTCCCCACAAACCCCCCTCCCTTCTAGCACTGATGATGTTACCTAGTTGGGTCATGAAACGTCTGCAGGAAAACCAACCAAGCTCAGAGAGCACCAAGGACCCCACAGTTGTCATTGTCATCCTCCTCCTCCTCCTCCTCTTCCTTCCTCCATTCCACAAGCCCCACTTCCTTCTAGCACTGATGATGTTACCTAGTTGGGTCATGAAACGTCTGCAAGAAAGCCACCAAGCTCAGAGAGCACCAAGGAGCCCACAGTTCTCCTCCTCCTCCTCCTCTTCCTCAACCCCCCTTCCCTTCTAACACTGATGGTGTCACCTAGTTTGGTAATGAAACATCTGCAAGAAAACAAGCAAGCTGAAAGAGCACCCAGGACCCCTCACAATCTTTGGAACACCATGCTGTACACACAAATGATCCTGGGTCCCAGCAACCCCTGTGGAGAAAGCACCAAGGACCCTACAGTTCTCCTCCTCCTCCTCCTCCTCTCCCACAAAGCCCCCCTCCCTTCTAGCACTGATGATGTTACCTAGTTGGGTCATGAAACGCCTGCAAGAAAACCAACCAAGCTCAGAGAGCACCCAGGACCCCACAGTTGTTGTCCTCCTCCTCCTCCTCCTCCTCCTCCTCCTCCTCCTCCTCCTCCTCTTCCTTCCTCCATTCCACAAACCCCACTTCCTTCTAGCACTGATAATGTTACCTAGTTGGGTCATGAAACACCTGCAAAAAACCAACCAAGCTCAGAGAGCACCAAGGACCCCACAGTTGTTGTCGTCATCCTCCTCCTCTTCCTCCTCCTCCTCCTTCCTCCATTCCACAAACCCCACTTCCTTCTAGCACTGATAATGTTACCTAGTTGGGTCGTGAAACGTCTGCAAGAAAACCACCCAGCTCAGAGAGCACCAAGGACCCCCTCATTTCCCAGACAGTCACTTCTCCCAAGATGCAGGCAGGTTTCAGTCCAAAACAAGTTGGGTTTTACGCCCCAATTCTCACCCTCCGATTAAATCCTTCTGAGATTCAGTCATCCCACCAAATTTGGGCCAGTTACTAGCGGTGAGGAATCCGCTTTGATCACGCAGCTTCCCAGGTGGCATCTGAGGAGGTTGCTGAACACACAATGTCGTTGGACGGGCCACCGGCGGTTGGTGTTGCAGTTCTCAGGCGGATGTGTACTTACCCCTGCGTTTAGCAACGTTGTGACGACATTTTTGCCCGGTAGGCCTTGGATGGTGGTGCCCTTTCCCGCCGTTTTCTGCACAACTATGACGTTGGGCTTGGACGTCACCGGGATGGTCGTGATCTTGGTGGTGGTTCCTTGACGGAAGGAAAACAGAAACAGGGCGCGGATTCGAAAGGGGAGCCACGCTCACGGTTTCGTCCTGGTAGTCCTGGACTTACCATCACAAATGGGCCCCCAACTTTCTGTTGCTAAGCGAGACAGTGGTTACAAGTGCAGGATTGCAGGGCTAACTCTGCCCACTGCCGGGAGTTCGATCCTGACCGGCTCAAGGTTGACTCAGCCTTATATGTCATATAATTATATAAGTCCTATTGCTAGCTAGCTCTTTATTTTATTTATTTTCTTTCTTTCTTTCTTTCTTTCCTTTCTTTTTCTTTCCTTCCTTCCTCCCTTTCTGTGGCACAGTGGTTAGAATGCAATAATGCAGATTAACTCTGCCCACTGCCAGGAGTTCAAAGCCTTATATGTCATATAATTATATAAGTCCTATAGCTAGCTATTTATTTTATTTATTTCTTTATTTTCTCTTTCTTTCCTTCCTTCCTTCCTTCCTGGTTAGAATGCAGTAATGCAGACTAACTCTGCCCACTGCCAGGAGTTCGATCCTGACCGGCTCAAAGTTGACTCAGCCTTGTATGTCATATAATTATATAAGTCCTATTGCTATTTCTTTCCTTCCTTCCTTCCTTCCTTCCTTCCTTCCTTCCTTCCTTCCTTCCTTCCTTCCTTCCTTCCTTCCTTCCCTTCCCTTCCCTTCCCTTCCCTTCCCTTCCCTTCCCAGGGCACAGTGGTTAGAATACATTAATGCAGGCTAACTCACTGCCCACTGCCAGGACTTTAATCCTGACCAGCTCAAAGTTGACTCAGCCTTCCATCCTTCTGAGGTCTGTAAAATGAGGACCCAGATTTTTTTTTGGGGGGGGGGCTCAGATAGGCTGACTCTGTAAACTGCTGAGAGAGGGGCTGTAAAGCACGATGAAGCGGTATATCAGTCTAAATGCTGTTGCTATTGCTAACTCTGCCCACTGCCAGGAGTTCGATCCTGGCCAGCTCAAAGTGGACTCAGCCTTCCATCCTTCTGAGGTCAGTAAAATGAGGACCCAGATGGTTGGGGGCAAATAGGCTGACTCTGTAAACCGCTTAGAGAGAGGGCTGTAAAGCACTGTGAAGCGGTATATAAGTCTAAGTGCTATTGCTATTGTTAACTCTGCCCACAGCCAGGACTTCGATCCTGACCGGCTGAAGGTTGACTCAGCCTTCCATCCTTCTGAGGTCAGTAAAATGAGGATGCAGATTGTTGGGGGGCAGACATGCTGACATTTAAACCGCCCAGAGATGGCTGTAAAGCATCGTGGGGTGGCATCTAAGTATAAATCAGTGGTTCGCAACCTGTGGGTCGGGACCCCATTTGGGGTCGAACGACCATTTCACGGGGGTCGCCAAACAACGCAGGCCGCCATTTTTTCCCCTTTTCCTTAGCTGTGCTACTCCCTTTTATTCTATTGGCTTTTGAAAGCCAATAGAATAGACTCTCTTGAATAGATCTAATTCTATTGGCTTTCAAAAGCCAATAGGAATTGTCCAGGCTGTCTCTGCCCTGCTGAGCCTGCCAAAAGTCCCATTCTGCAAACGGTGCTGCACCAGTTGAGTAGTCCTCGACTTACGACCGGTTGGGGTCGCAGCATTAAAAAGGTTGAGAACCACTGGTCTAAATGCTATTCTATTATGCATTCATCCTTTTGTTATTTAGTTCCTATTACCTATAGATTTCGCAAAATGTTCTCTTTTTAACATGGTAAACTGACCTGAGTTACCTCAGGGGTAAGGTGGGCACTCAAAAAAATTAATAAATAGTAACACAGGTAGTCCTCCACTTAGGACTGCAATTCAGCCCCCAAATTTAGGTTGCTGGGTGAGACATTTCTTAAGTGAACTTTGCCCCATTGTACGACCTTTCTCGCTGCCGCTGTAAAGCGAATCGCTGCCATTGTTCAATTAGCAACAGGGTGGTTAAGCAAATCTGGCATTTCCCCCCCCCCCACACTGATTGATTGATTTTGATTGTCAGAAGTTCGCCAAAGGGGAATTACGTGACACTGCAACCGCCATAAATATGAGTCAGTGGCCCAAGCATTCTGAATTTCAACCGCACAACGGCGGGGAGGCTGCAACAGTCACTAAAACGAGTCGTAGGTTGCTTTTCAGTGCTGTGGTCAACTTGGACCGGTCACTAAGTGGACTCCTATAAGTCGAGGACTACCTGTGCTGAGAAGATTACTGCAACCGCCATAAATATGAGTCAGTGGCCCAAGCATTCTGAATTTCAACTGCACAATGGTGGGGAGGCTGCAACAGTCACTAAAAACGAGTTGTAGGTCGCTTTTCAGTGCTGTGGTCAACTTGGACCGGTCACTAAGTGGACTCCTATAAGTCGAGGACTACCTATGCTGAGAAGATTAAGAGCACCTGGAGTCCCCATGACCCTGGGAAAGAAATCAGACAAACGGTTTCTAGAGCAATGGCAAGCGTCGGATACCTTTTTGCTGAAAATAGGTCTTCATCAAGGAGTTACCTTTAAAAAGAAAGAAAAAAAAGCGAAAATAAAACAGCTTTGGTCCGCAAACATTATTTTTTTTTTTGTCATTTTGCTGGGGAAAAAGATTCTTAGAAAAGGACCGAGACATTGCAAAAATTGGGTGCTCGCTGTCCAATTTACATCGCAGGCAGTCCTCGGCTTACGACCACAATGGGGCTCCCCAGTGGCTAAGCGAGACAGTTGTTTTGCCCCCCGTTTTACGTCCTTCCCGGCCACAATTATCCAGTGAATCACTGAAGTTCTTAAGTTAAGTAACACAGTCGTTCAGTGAATCCCCCCCAACTGACTTTACTTGTCAGGTCACAAAAGGGGATCACGTCACACACACACACACACACACACACACACACACACACACACACACACACTGGGACACTGCAACCCTCATAAATTTGAGCCAGTTGCCAAGCATTTGGCTTTGGATCCCGTCGCCGTGGGGATGCTGCTGCAACGGTCGTTAAAACGGCCGTGCGTCGCCTTTTATTTCAGCGCCGTCGTAATTTCGGTCACCGAACAAAAGGTCGTAAGGCGAGGATTACCTCTAGAAAGGAAGTTGGGATCGGGCTTCTCATAGCGAGGTTCACTTCCTTCCCTTTTTAACCTATTTTTTTTCCCCCAACTGGGCCGCAGCTCCAAAATCCCTGTGATCACAACCGACAATATTCCTCATACCTCTTAACTGGCAATTGTTAAATGTGCACTTTGGAAGACGCCCACAGTGGGAAAGGTACTTTTAGACACACAATCCTTACGAATGAAGGCAAATTTGCCTGTCCCGAGGATCACGTTGCAGGATCCAATCTGGGTCTGTCGCCGGGATCAAAGGTTTATTCCTCCGAACTTTCGGACTCCTGCGGAAGCATCTCTCTACCGGAATGTGTGCTTTGGGCTATCCCCGTGTGTGTGGTGTTTATAGGGTGCCTGTGGTGTTTGGCTTTTTAGTTGTTGTTTGGGGTGTCGATGGCCATTTATTAAGCGGCTGGCTGTTGTGCTGCCAAACCCTCGGCTCCTAAGTGCTTGATAAGCTGGCCATTTTTGTATCTGTCCATCCAACAATCTGAGTAGCTGCGAAATTGAATGTATAATAATAATCATCATCATCATCATCATCATCATCATCATGATGTTGTTGTTGTTGGAAGGGACCTTGGAGGTCATCTAGTCCAACCCCCTGCTCAGGCAGGAAACCCTATACCATTTCAGACAAATGGTTGTCCAGTCTCTTCTTAAAAACTTCCAGTGTTGGAGCATTCACTGCTTCTGGAGGCAGGTTGTTCCACTGGTTAATTGTTCTCACTGCCAGAAATTTTTCCTTAGTTCTAGGTTGCTTTTCTTCTTGATTAGTGTCCATCCATTGCTTCTTAATAATAATAATAAAGTTGGAAGGGACCTTGGAGATCATCTAGTCCAACCCTCTGCTCAGGCAGGAAACCTTATACCATTTCAGACAAATGGCTGTCCAGTCTCTTCTTAAAAACCTCCAATGATGGCGCGTTCACAGCTTCTGGAGGCAATTAATTGTTCTCCCTGTCAGGAAGTTTCTCCTTAGTTCCCGGTTGCTTCTCTCCTTGGTTAGTTTCCACCCGTTGCTTCTTGTCCTGCCTTCAGGCGCTTTGGAGAATAGCTTGACTCCCTCTTCTTTGGGGCAGCCCCTGAGATACTGGAACGCCGCTATCCTGTCCCCCCTCGTCCTTGTTTATTGCAGAGCCACATACAGCAGGTACCATACAAATACCGCACACAGAGTAGACCAAAGCACACATTCTGCTAGAGAGAACTTCCCTCAGGATGGACTCCAGCACGACTCCGAACGCTCGGAAGACTAAACCTCTGGTCACGGCGACCGATCCTGCCACACATAATCCTATTCTGCAAAGGTTTTGGTGGCACTGATTGGAAATGGGTAACCAAATGCATCTATTGTGTTTTCCCTTCCATTCCCAGGTCCTAGGTCACTATAGCACGCACTGAAGCTAGCTTTTATAAACCCCTTCCTGGATTTTCCACTGCCTTCCTTTGGGGGGGTCTATTATGGCTGAAACCGCAAAAATGGCAGCAAAATAAGCTGAGTGCATCAACCCACCTCTCTCTAAAGTTCAGGGTTTTTTTTTTTTTCCTTCCTTGATTCGTTCTCCAATTAAACAGGGGCACGTGCCTACTTACCAGAAACGAGGTTGCTGCTAATGATCTTGCCCCCCAGGGTGGCGAGGGATTTGGGGACGACCGTGATGATGCTGCCGCTGGTGGTCTTCACGTAGGTGGCTGCACCAGGTGTGCCCGTCACCCGTGCCCCTAAGGAAGGGCTCATGGTTGGACGGGTGTACGTTGCTTGAGTCCCTGGTATAAGCACACACACACACACACACAAAAATAAAACAGAGTAAGATATCTGGTGTGAATGTCACCTGGGAAGACGAAGAGGAGAGGAGAGTGGCCAAAGCTTGCAAAAGATGTGTTTTCTTTCCACCTAAATCAGCGATGGCGAATCTTTTAGAGACTGAGTGCCCAAAATCCACCCCCCCTCCGTCCCCGCCCCGCCGTGCCCGCTGGACCATCCACCACCTCCACGGCCCGCCACAGATCACCCAGGCAGCCCAGCAGCGCCATGGTGGCCACATCCTCCACCCATGCCCTGCAGCGTCATCTGCGTGCGATGGGGTGCAAGGGCGGAGTCTTGTTCCCGCTGCCCAGCTACCGTGTCCTTGGTGGCACAGCACTGCGTGTGCAGTGCCCGGGGGTTGCTGGTGAGGAGGGGGCCATGGCAAGAGGTGGGGCTGGGGCGACGGTGCGTGTGCCCACAGAGAGAGCTCCGAGTGCCGGCTCTGGCAGGCGTGCCATAGGTTCGCCATCACTGACCTAAATGATTCAGGGAGCCCGTGGATGATTTTTTTAAGACCTGTGGACTTCAACTCCCAGAATCCTTCAGCTTGCCAAAGTCACCACTGTGGAGAGATGGCAGCAGAGAACTTTCGAGTTTTTCCAGTTTGGTCTAGTGGTTAAGGCAGCAGTTCTCAACCTGTGGGTCAGGACCCCATTTGGGGTCGAACGACCATTTCACGGGGGTCGCCAAACAACGCAGTCCGCTATTTTTCCACCCTTTTCCTTAGCTGTGCTGCTCCCTTTTATTCTATTGGCTTTTGAAAGCCAATAGAAGAGACTCTCTTGAATAGAGTCTAATTCTATTGGCTTTCAAAAGCCAATAGGAATTGTTCAGGCTGTCTCTGCCCTGCTGAACCCGCCAAATCCCATTCTGCAAATGGTGCTGCAAGTTGTCTGCAGCGAAGGCGAGCTGTCTGGAAGCTTCCAGCCCTCCCTGCTGAGCAACTACTAAAAATGTAAGCAAAAGAGGGCCAGGGGTGGGAGGTGGGAGGCCGGCGGGCGCAGGGAGGGTTGCTGGCGCGTGTGGGCCCCGGCAGGTGCCTTACCTCCCCTGGGCTGGGCCAGCTGGTGGCCCAGCCGGTGGTCGGCCTGCGCCGTCTCTGCCGCTTGCCAGCTATGCCTCGGCCGGCGCAGGGGGCGGCACCACGCATGCGCGGCGCTCCCGGGTAGGGAAAGTCCTCGACTTACAACCGGTTGGGTAATCCTTGACTTACGACCGGTTGGGTAGTCCTCGACTTATGATCAGTTGGGGATTGCAGCATTAAAAAGGTTGAGAACCACTGGGTTAAGGCACCAGGCAAGATACTGGGAGAGGGATGAGTTCTAGGCCTGAAAGCCGGCTGGGTGACTCTGAGCCAATCACCAGGAGATGGTGAGTTCTAGTCCCGCCTTAGGCATGAGCCAGCTGAGTGACTCTGAGTCAATCACCAGGAGACGGTAAGTTCTAGTCAGGCCTGAAAGCCAGGTGGGTGACTTTGGACCAATCACCAGGAGACAGTGAGTTCTAGTCCCGCCTTAGGCATGAAAGCCAACTGGGTGACTCTGGGCCAATCACCAGGAGACGGTGAGGTCTAGTCCCGCCTTAGGCATGAAAGCCGACTGGGTGACTCTGAGTCAATCACCAGGAGATGGTGAGTTCTAGTCCCGCCTTATTCATGAAGCATGCCTGGCTGAGGAATTCAGGGAGTTGAAGTCCACAAGTCATAAAAGTTTGAAGACCCCTGCATTAAGCGAATGCAACAATTCACTTAACAACTGTGGCAAAAAAAAGATTGTAAAATTGGGCCTGGCTCACTTAACAACCGCCTCGCTTAGCAACGGAAATTCTGCTCACAACTGTGGCCGTAAATCAAGGATTACCTGTAATGGGATTGTAAACTGGCCCTTTTTTTAAAAAAAAAAATATAGACGTGTAAATAGGTCGCTTGTTCTGCCGTGTGAAGATCAGTTTGTGAGTCAGCAGCCGGGGACGCCCTCCCAGTGGAAGGGACTCCGGAGGCAGCTCCTCCGTGTCTGACCACCGTCGGTAGGAACGGTCACTTGTCCCCCCCAACCACCACCCCCAGTTTGGCCCGCCTTGGAAACTGGCCAGGATGGGCAGAGCGACTCACCCGCAGGAGCTGTGACCAGTTTGGTGGTCATGATGGTCCCGTTGCTGCTCACCACCATGATGGGAGAATTGCTGCTGCTGGGCAGAGTCGCGGTGACGGGCTTGGGGAGGATTTTGCTGGGCTGCACCTGTTGAGTGATGATTTTGACACCTGGGGAAGAGACGTTGGATGGGGGGGCAGGGAAAATGGAGGGAGGGAGGGAGGGAGGGAGGAAGGAAGGAAGGAAGGAAGGAGAGAAGGGAAATGGGGAGTGAGGGAAGAAGGCAGGAATGAAGGAACGAAGGGAGGAAGGAAAACAGGGGAGGGAGGGAGGGAGGGAGGGAGGGAGAGAGAGGGGGAGGGAGAGAAGAAGGCAGGAATGAAGGAACGAAGGGAGGAAGGAAAACAGGGGAGGGAGGGAGGGAGGGAGGGAGAGAGAGGGGGAGGGAGAGAAGAAGGCAGGAATGAAGGAACGAAGGGAGGGAGGGAAATGGGGAGGGAAGAAGGCAGGAATGGAGGAAGGAAGGGAAATGGGGGAGGGAGGGAGGGGGAGAGGGGGGAGGGAGGGAGGGAGGCAGGAACGAAGGAAGGAAGGGAAGGAGGAGAGATAGGAAGGAAGGAAGAAAGGAAGGAAGAAGGGAAATGGGGAGGGAGGGAGGGAAGAAGGCAGGAATGAAGGAAGTGAGGGAGGAAGAGAAGGGAAATGGGGGAGGGAGGGAGGAAAGCAGGAACAAAGGGAGGGAGGGAGGGAAGAGAGATAGGAAGGAAGGGAGGGAGGAGACAGGAAGGGAGGGAGGGGGAAGGAAGGAAAATGAGGAGGGAGGGAGGCAAGAACAAAGGAACGAAAGAAGGGAGGGAGGAGAGATAGGAAGGAAGGAGGAAAGAGAGAGGGAGGGAGGCAGGAAGGAAATATGGGAGGGAGGGAGGAAGGAAAATGGGGAGAAAGGAAGGAAGGACAGAAAATCAGAGAAAGGTTAAGGATACAGCTAAGATCCTAGAGCAGTGGTTCTCAACCTGTGGGTCGGGACCCCATTTGGGGTCGAACGACCATTTCATGGGGGTCGCCAAACAACGCAGTCCGCCATTTTGTTCCCTTTTCCCTAGCTGTCCTACTCCCTCTTATTGGTGGCCACACCCACTTGGGGGTCACCACAACATGGGGAACTGTATTATGGGGTCGCGGCATTAGAAAGGTTGAGAACCACTGTCCTAGAACAAGTTGACAAAACATTAACACTCCGAGAATGTTAAAGTCCAGGTCATCCTTGACTTACAGCCGTCTGTTTAGTGAACATTCAAAGTTACAACGGCACTGAAAAAAGTAATTTGTGACTTTCACCCAACTGCTGCATCATCCCCATGCGATCCAAATTCGGACGCTTGGCCACCGGCGTGTATTTATGACGGTCGCAGCGTCCCAGGTGTGTGTGTGTGTGTGTGTGTGTGTGTGTGTGTGAGACGTGATCCCCCTTTGCCACCTTCCGACAAGCCAAGTCAGCAGGGGAAGCCAGATTCGCCCTCGCAACCCTGTTCCTCGCTTAACGACCATAGCAATTCACTGAACAAGCGTGGCAGGGAAGGTCATAAAAAAGGACGGAACTCGCTTAACCACCATCTTGCTTAGCAGTAGAAATTTGGGGGGCAATCGGAGTGTATAATAATAATAATAATAATAACAATAATAATAATAATAATGTTGGAAGGGATCTTGGAGGTCATCTAGTCCAACCCCCTGCTCAGGCAGGAAGCCCTATACCATTTCAGACAAATGGCTGTCCAGTCTCTTCTTAAAAACTTCCAGTGTTGGAGCGTTCACCGCTTCTGGAGGCAAGGAGTTCCACTGGTTAATTGTTCTAACTGTCAGGAAGTTTCTCCTGACAGTCAAGAGCTTCCTCTATCCGCCCCATCGCCGGGACGATATGTTCCTCATTTGGAAAATACCTGATTCTTGCTTGATCTGGATGGTGGGCTTAATGGTGGGGGGCAGCGGAGACGGCTGGGGGGTTGGGGGTGGCTGGGCGGGAGTCTGGGCGGCCGATGAAGTCAGCTGCTGCTTGGGAAGCTGGGCCAGGATCTGGGCGGACGTTCCCACCAGGCTCTTGGGGGAAGGCAGCCTGGCCGAGGCCACCTTGATGGCGGAGGTGCACACACCTGGAAGAGAGAACGGGGGTGACAGGGCCGGTGTGGTTTTTTTTTCCTCCCAATTTCCTTCTATTTCCACACAAACCTTGGAATACTGCTGCCTTCCCAGCAAACACCGCTGCCTTCCCACCCCCTTTAATATCATCTCCTCTCACCCCCTTTAATATCATCTCCTCTCACCCCCTTTAATATCATCTCTTCCCTCACCCTTTAATATCATCTCTTCTCTCACCCCCTTTAATATCATCTCTTCTCTCATCCCCTTTAATATCATCTCTTCTCTCACCCCCTTTAATATCATCTCTTCTCTCACCCCCTTTAATATCATCTCTTCCCTCACCCTTTAATATCATCTCTTCTCTCACCCCCTTTAATATCATCTCTTCTCTCACCCCCTTTAATATCATCTCTTCTCTCACCCCCTTTAATATCATCTCTTCTCTCATCCCCTTTAATATCATCTCTTCCCCCACCCCCTTTAATATCATCTCTTCCCTCACCCTTTAATATCATCTCTTCTCTCACCCCCTTTAATATCATCTCTTCTCTCACCCCCTTTAATATCATCTCTTCTCTCACCCCCTATAATATCATCTCTTCTCTCACCCCCTTTAATATCATCTCTTCTCTCATCCCCTTTAATATCATCTCTTCCCCCACCCCCTTTAATATCATCTCTTCCCTCACCCTTTAATATCATCTCTTCTCTCACCCCCTTTAATATCATCTCTTCTCTCACCCTTTAATATCATCTCTTCCCCCACCCCCTTTAATATCATCTCTTCTCTCACCCCCTTTAATACCATCTCTTCCACTACCCCCTTTAATATCATCTCTTCTCTCACCCCCTTTAATATCATCTCTTCCCTCACCCTTTAATATCATCTCTTCTCTCACCCTTTAATACCATCTCTTCTACTACCCCCTTTAATATCATCTCTTCTCGTCGAGAACCCCTTTACATATCATGCTCTTCTCTCACCCCTTTAATTGCAATCACCCCCCCCACCCACCCCAAAAAATAAAAAAAAAAATACCCCCCTTTTCTTCTCTCACCCCCTTTAATATCATCTCTTCCCCCACCCCCTTTAATATCATCTCTTCCCTCACCCCCTTTAATACCATCTCTTCCACTACCCCCTTTAATATCATCTCTTCCCCCACCCCCTTTAATATCATCTCTTCCCCCACCCCCTTTAATATCATCTCTTCTCTCACCCCCTTTAATACCATCTCTTCTACTACCCCCTTTAATATCATCTCTTCTCTCACCCCCTTTAATATCATCTCTTCCCTCACCCTCTTTAATATCTCTCACCCCCTTTAATATCATCTCTTCTCTCAACCCCTTTAATACCATCTCTTCTCTCACCCCTTTTAATATCATCTCTTCCCCCACCCCCTTTAATATCTCTTCTCTCACCCCCTTTAATAACATCTCTCCCACTACCCCCTTTAATATCATCTCTTCCCTCACCCCCTTTAATATCATCTCTTCTCTCACCCCCTTTAATATCATCTCTTCCCTCATCCCCTTTAATATCATCTCTTCCCCCACCCTCTTTAATATCACCTATTCCCCCACCCCCTTTAATATCATCTCTTCTCTCT